AGAGAGAGAGAGAGAGAAAGAGAGAGAGATGGGGGGGTGAGAGAGAGAGGGATATAGAGAGAGAGTGTGTGTGTGTGAGAGAGAGTTAAATGAGCTTTTTCTTGTTATTCTTACATGTTTGGTTATTTGTTTGTTTTTGTTTGTTGTTTTTTGTTTCTTTGGTTGTTTGTTTTTGTTTGTTTGTTGTTGTTTTTTTGGGGGGGTTAAGTTAATCTATTTATTATTATTTACCGCATTAGTTTAATTTATTGTATTACTTCAAATTTCAATGACTTAATGTAGATATCGTTATTTGTAACTACATGAATAATTCATCAACATAACTAACTATAACTATAATGCTGTGATATTTGTATCTTGCCCTTCTTGCATTATTTCTAAATTTAAACAGTATAATGTTACTTTGTATTGTCCAATTCCTCATGTAACGAAAAACTATTTTTTATAAACTCTGTGGTTTATATATTGTGACCTACCTATCTTGTAAGATGTAATGGTATTCCTATTTCTTTTAAGGTTTGTTTGTGTGTTTGTGGTTGTGGAGGGGGGGGGGTGTGTGTGTGTGTGTGTGTGTGTGTGTGTGTGTGTGGGGGGGGGGTTGTTTGCTCAGTTTTGTTTGGGTTGTTTTTTTAGGGGGTGGCAGTTGTTTGTTTTCTTCGTTTCCTGTCTCTGTTGAAAATTGTGATTACCTGCAGACTTTTTGCCGCAATTTGTCATGACGTTATCAATAAATATTGACAGAAATCTAACACTATCTTATAATATTTCATTCTTTTTTCCTCTCGGTTGGTGACGTCATTCGATGTTGAAACAGCAGCCTGAAGTTTTGTTGTTTGTTTGTTTTGTTCTTTCTTTTTGGGTGGTTGTTTTTTGTGTTGTTTTGTTGTTGTTTTTGGTTGTTGGTTTTTTTGTTGGGTTTTTTTTTTTTTTTTTTTTTGGGGGGGGGTACCAAGTGTACATGTTTTGTATGCCCCATCGACACAATTTATAATATAATCACTTATGAGGCAGGCTTCCGACACTGCCTGTCTGGGGCAACCCGGAATGAAATGACAGGGATACATTCCGGCGAAAAGACAGAGAAACTCGATATTAAAAATGTTCTCCCCACTTCGGAATCGAACTCCCGTGTCCTGCGTGTGACAGGAAAGCCCTTAACCGCTACACTTCAGACGCCAGACGGAAGATTTTTTTTTTGTACATGTAGAGGTTTTACGGCACTCGCAACTGCATAAGGTCATATGAGTGCCAGAAGATAAGAGGTGTTACAAGAGAGTAACAAACATTAAAAAAAAAGAAGGAGGGGAGATAAGGACAATAGATGTTTGATACTTACTTACTTGTCCACTGTGTTGGGGTCACTGCAGTCGGAACATGTCCATCTCTGCTCCCCCCCCCCCCCTCTTCAGGATCCATCCCAGAGTCTGTCTGCTTATAGTATCCATCATAATCTGGTTGGAGATCCGTCGGACTGGTCCGCACTGATGGCTGTGTTTCCCCTCTCCTCTTTGGATCCCCTTCTCCTTCATCAATCTACCTCGAATGTGGGAACCGCTATCCGCCCTATTCCTCAAATTTTCCCTTACAGCGGTTAGGACGGTTGGTGGGTTCAGTGTCAAATTCCCTCCCACTTTTGCTTCTCCAGCTAGCTTGTCTGCTCTCTCGTTGCCGGTTACCCCCGCGTGGCCTGGGCAGAAGATCCAGGCCACTCTTTCCAGGCTGCTCTCCCTGATCGTAGCCTTCCAGTCCGCATACAGCATCCCTTTCTGTACCTTCTGTAGTGTGCGCATGGAGTCAGTAATGATCACTGCTCGCTGAGGGCTTGTCTTCTTGATCCAGTGTAGAGCCTCACTTATGGCTTTTATCTCCATACACATACTTGATGTTGTCAATGTCAGTGCAGTTGCTCCACTTTGCTCTTTCACTACCACCCCATCAACTCCGACATTGATTTGACTCCTCTGTTGACTGATCCATCCGTGAAGATCACAGCATCTCCATGTTCGCTATGCCTTTCTATCAGGGTTTCAATTTCAGCGTTTGTAGCTCCAAGTGGCCAGTTGCGACATTCTCTACCCAATGTTGCCTTCACTGTTGTGTACTCTCGGAGCGCATTTTCGACCACAACCGAATGATGTTTGATAGTGATGGGAAAGAAGAAGCAAACTACACCAGAGCACCCGTCAACCACCCACAGTCTGAAGATGATGTGTACATTTTGCTGTTTTGTGGAAGAACCAAGCCCGGCTCGAGACTGTCTCAACTTCTTTGGCTGTTCTGTTTTAGCTAGCGTTAACGGCACTTGCAACACAATAAGATCATATAAGTACTTAAGATTAGAGGTGTTGCAAGAGAGTAACAAACACAGAAAAGGAGGGCGAGAGATAAGGACGATAGATGTATGATAGGAAAGAAGGACCAAACCACCCTAGAGCACCCGCCAATCACCTACTAGCATGAATTTTACGGTACTTGCAACACAATAAGGTCATAATAAATAAGTTAATACATGCAATGATAAGCGCCGACGATTAGAGGTGTTACAAGAGAGTAACAAGCATAGAAAAGGAGGAGGAGAGAAAAGAACGATAAATGTATGACAGGAAAAAAGAGCAGACCACACTAGAGCACACCCAATTCCGAGACGGTCTTGTGCTCTTTTGTTGTTGTTGTTGTTTTTGGGGGTTTGTTTGTTGTTGTTGGGTTTTTGGTTTTTTGGTTTGTTTGTTTTTTGTTTTGTTTGGGTTTTTTGGGGGTTTTTTGTTGTTGTTTTTTTTTTTTTTGGGGGGGGGGGGGTGTTAAGTGTTGTACGGCGCTCGCAAGAGCATAAGGTCATATGAGCACGCAGGACACATTAAACATTTTTCAGTCGGTAGAAAATTTTGAATTTCGCCCGAAGCCTACGCTTATCGATTTTAGACCCCCTAGGGATCTTCAACGTGCGTGACTTGCACACGAGACCTCAGAGATGTTTAGCCTTTGTCCGAGAAGGCCAGGTGTAGATATTTCCTACCAGAAAATCAGGAATGTGGCTGAAATACAGCAGTAAGAAGGAGCCAAGTAGTAGCAGTAGAAAGGCTGCAGAAAGAGTCTGGAGCCCAGAAGAGGGGGCAAAGAAGGTGACGGGGTGGGGGGAAGAAAGTGGAGACGAAAGCAGGAAACAGAACATTGCTAGAGAGCTGGAAAGGAGGCGAACGTGAAAGGAAACAATTTTAGAAAAGAACATTTTGCCCGTTGCTACTCGGATTCGAACCCGCGACCTTTGAATGAGAGGCAAACACCTTAACCCCTAGGGCACAAGAACCCCCTTCCGCTCTTTGATTGACGATGAATTATAAATTATCATCATGAAGCAGATCTGCCTGTCAAAGTAAAAGCACATTCAAGAAAACACAGCTTTTTTCCGTAGGGGTAACAATTTTCTGTTCTTTTACTTTTAGTTTAGTTTTAGTAAAGAGTATTATTATGGCACTTGCAAAACAATAAGGTTCAATAAGTGCCGAAGACTAGAGGTGCTGCAAGAGAGTAACAAACACAAAAAAGGAGGAGAGATAAATAAGGACAATAGACGTTTGATATGAAAGCACCCCCCAACAAACCACTTTGCTGTTCTTTGCAGTAAAGCCTTTTTTATGATATTTTCAAACATTTCTTGGGAAAAACAAAACAAAAAAGACCCCAAAAAAGAGTACGACAACTAAAAGCTGAGAGTGTACAAGATAATTATAATGGCAATAGACTACCTTTATTGAAGCAATAAACTGACACAAAGCTATGGTTGATAGATGCAGGTAAACATTTTGCACATAAAATTTCAAAATTTCAAAAACCAAACAATAGCACAGAAATAACAAATTTATATATAACAATATAATATGGCACAATTAGTGAAAAAAAGCATGGACAAACAACAGAGAAAAAAATAATTAATTAATTATTGTCACCTAAGATGTATATGAGCAGTTTCTCTAAAAATCTTGAGATGAACCCCAACCCCCAGCAAAATCATAATATTTACCCTGTTGAAAAAACAAAACATGTCAAAACTCAGCAAAACAATCTTGTTCAGAAAACGCTAGGCACCTTGATTTGAGGCTGGTGACAAGCTGCTGCAGTTGTTTAATAGCTTAAGTAGAAATTTGTTCTCATCCACATCTGGCACAATCCTTGTGTAATACTTCTACATAAAAACATGTTGATTTCAGTTACACACAAGAGTGAAAAAACACTTCATGCAAAACACTCACAGTAGGTTCATTGTCTTGACACTACAGAAAACGTCTTACTGGCCGGCTTGTTTCTCTCATGCACACCATGAATCGTGTCAAAAGCTAAATTGTGTCAAACGCAGAATAATTGTATCAAACACTGAATAATAGTGTCAAATGCTGAATAATTGGGTCAGACTCTGAATAATTACATGTACATCAAACACTGAATTGTGTCAAACATTGAGAAGTAAAAAGTGGCTGCAAATATATTAAAAGAGCTCAAACAAATAATGAAAATAAAAAACAAAACAAAAAAGACAAACACTTGTCTGGGATCAATGGTGACACTGGCTCCAGTCACAAGCACACTCTTGGTCCGGAAATAACTGAGATATAATGTGCTTTACTAGTCCTAAAACAAAAATCAGAAGAAAAAAAAACAATACTATCAGAAATGGTGAAATGCTGCAAATGTAGATTCATGTAAAAAAAAGCCTGGATATAACACCACCCTGTAACTACAAGTATTTTATTAGAAATATGCTAGAAAGGCTATCAATTAATGAATATGTGTTTTTACATCACCATTGACACAATTTAGATCATTTAGGAGGCGTGTTTTGACCCTGAATGTCAGAGTCATCCCTGCTGAGAGGGATAGAAAGACCCACCAAAAACATCAAGTTACTTGCGAAAAATTCGCCCTACACAGGGATCAAACTTGGGTCTTTGGCGTAGGACAGCAAAGCTCCTAACTATTACTTGTAAAATAAATACCGGAACACATTTTAAAAAATACACAAAAAAAGAAAGAAAACTCATGTGCAGTGAGCTGCAGCTTGTGTAAATGATTACCAAAAGCTCAAATGAACATGAAGAAAACGAACCTAATTATGACAAACATATCGGAAGGACAAAGTATGCTGTAAAACAACTGGCCGAGTCCACCAAAAGGGGTGGAAAAGACGTAACATTCAAAAGTGGTGCTTTGGGAGGTTTTCAGTACAGAATGACAAACATTTCAAACTGAGATCTTGAGAAATACATTGCAATTTTGTCAGTAAAAAATATTGAAAAAGAAACCTCAATCGGGGATAAATCTCACAGCTATAAGCTCCAGACATTAAGTATATTTCGTTTTTAAAAAAAGAGAAACTGACATACAGATTCTTGTTTTGGTAAGTGTTTTACAGCACTCACAACTGCATAAAGTCATAAGAGCGCGCGGGACAAACAAAACATTTTTAGTTTGGTAGGAATTAATTTTGAATTTTGCCTAGGTAGCTGCCAAAACATACGCTTATCGATTTTTGGACAACCAAGGGATTTTAAACATGCGCAACTTGCAAACGGGGTCGCCAAGATTTTTCACCCTTATCCGAGAAGGCTAGGTACTAGGTATTAGATCTTACCTACCATAAATTCAGGGGTGTTCCTGAAAAACAGCAATAAGTAGGAGCCGAGGAGTAGTTGTAGAAAGGCTGCAGAAAGAGTCAAGATCTCAGAGGAGGGGGCAAAGGGGAGGGAGGGGGGCCAGAAATGAAGACGAGAGCAGATGAGAGAACATGGTTAGAGAGCAGGAAAGAAGATGAAAGGAACAAATTTCAGAGAAAAAATGTCCGTTGCTGTCAGGTTTCGAACCTATTAAATAAGAGGCAAACACTGTAAGCTCTTGACCACAAGAGCCCCCTCCTACAGATTCATTAAACTGAAGTAGGGGCAATGATACATACGCACTAAAAAGTATCTGCACTGATGAGAGATACACCACTCTTTTCCTCAATGTTTATTTGATAAGAGGTAGCTATTTGCACTAAAATAAACTGAAGTAACAAAACACATCTAAATTGCTCTATATATCAATGTTAAGCTGAGGTAAGAGGCAGTCACATGAGCTTAAAACAAACTATCGGTAGCAAAAAAAAGAGACAAACTGCTCTAATCATTAATGTTGCATTCAGGGTCGTAGTCAAAGCTGTCACTTGTGTGCTGAAAGTGGTGGTCTTGCAGTTAGGCTGTCAGGCTCATAACCAAAAGGTCATGAGTTCAAACTCCTTCAGAAGAGTTTTGTTCTTTATACATAATATTTTCTTCACTTCATCAACATGGGAATGGGCAACCAGCTAAAGATAATGAAAAATCTAATCAGTTTGTTACAGTTTAAACAACTGCTTGCAAGCAAATCTTTAGATTTTTCAAACACCTGTTAAAGGCTTCAAAATTCACCTGAGATAAATAATTAATTGTTATATATATTATGAATGCAAATATTATTGCTTCCTGCACGAAGAGTGAGTGAGTAAAATTCTAACAACATTGCAGATGAAATCCCAATATTGTACTTTTTAAAAATTTTACTAAATCGAAATATTAATCCTCCTGAGTTCCACACAATTACTACCCAAAAAAAAATATAAAAAATGCTTGATCATCGTATTATGCTCAAAGACAGATAACCAAATAAAAATCTGCTCGAAGGTTGAAGATAGTAAGAGTACATTCCTCTGTGGGACCCTTGCCGTAAGCAAGAAAACATTCCTTCGTTTGACATGTCTACAAGACATGGCACATAGGATAGCGTTCATTTTAAATTCAATGTTATGACTACTGAAAGAGTAAAATGTCAGGGAAAAGAGAGCATAAAAATATTTCAATAGGTTTTATCTCACACAAGAGTAGTAAAATAAAAGCTGTGTGCAATGCAACCTACCACCCCCCTCCCAAAAAAACCCAACAAAAACAAACTGAGCAGCTCTTTAGAAAGGCAACACGGCACCAGTGTTATCAACAAGTTTCCCATTGTTCTTCTCGGTCTGAGCGGCGATCACACGGAGGCAGTCTGAAATGCTCTCTTCAGTCGACAGAGGGGCTGCATCTCCTCCTATCTCTGTGCGTACCCAGCCTGGGTGAAGAGAGAAAGCCAGGATACCAGCACTTTTCAGCTCTCGAGAGATCATAATTGTGGCCATGGTCACTGCAGCCTTGGAGCACCTACGGGGGGGGGGGGGGGGGGGGGGAAGTTCAACGATACTGATTATTCCTCTTCATTATGATGGAGAAAGTTCCCAGACATTCGCTGCAGATATTTTAAAAATGAAAATCTTATCTTCATAAAGATTCTTTTGAACTTCAACTTCATGTGCAACTCAACAAACACACACAAACACACACAATAATATAAAGAGTGAAAAGAAAAGCACAGTTATAAGTATCAGTTACAGCCTGAAAATCAAATGTGTATTCGACTGATAAAATAAAGCAGCCAGTCTCAATGGACAGGTGGTTGTCTTGGACAGAATCATTACACAGAGAAAGAATTGCAAACGGAAACGTGGGAAATGGTCGCTTGTACAGGTAAAGTCTGGGACAGCTAGTCACTAAAGTAGGCTTGACTGTGCACATTAACAGAATTAGGAGCAAAACCATACTGAAATCTCATTGAAAAACTAAAAGTCTCAATAAATGCACCCCACCCCTCCCCCAGAATTGATAGTAATTGTGACTCATCGTGGTGAAATCATCATCATCATTGCCTTTCTCACCCTGCACCAGGGTATAGGCCACGGACAAACACCTTCTACCGTTCTCTATCCTGGGCTAGCCTCTTGATGTTATTCCATGTCTTCCCACTTTTCTGTACATCGATTTCTGTGATTCTTCTCCAGGTTCCACGCGGTCTTCTCCTTGATCTCTTACCCTGAGGGTTCCAATCCAAAACTGACTTCCTGAGAGTATGTCCAATCCATCACCACCGCCTTCTTCCTACCTCATCTCTGACTGGGATCTGTCTTGTTTTCCTTAACACTTCCATATTGGCGACCCTGTCTGTTCATCTGATCCTCAGTAACTTTCTTAGACACCTGTTCAAGAAAACCTGGATCCTCTTTATGCAAGTCTGTGATGAGTTCCATGTCTCACATCCATACAACAGGACCGACTTCACATTTGAAATGAAAATCCTTAGCTTTGTTCGAAGTGAGATATCTCTGGTCTTCAAAATCCTATCCAAAGATATGAAAGCAGCCTGTGCTTTTCCAATGCGTGACTTTATTTCAGCACCTGTTCCTCCCTCTCTGTCCATTATGCTCCCAAGATAGCAGAAGGATTAAACTTTTTCTAGTGCCTTTCCTTCTGTTGTGACCTGCTCCTTTCGTTATGCATCTGTCCATAGGACCTTTGACTTTCCGGGGTGGACCCTCAATCCAACAGACTCCGAAAGGCTGTTTAATACTGAAGTCTTTGCTTGCAACTGTTCCTGGGTGTGCGACAGAAGCGCCAAGTCGTCTGCAAAATCCAGATCATCCAACTGCATCCATGGTGTCCACTGTATACCATTTCTGTGTCCTCTGGTGGTTTCCTGCATCAGCCAATCGACTGCCAATATGAAGATGTCTTGATGTCAAAGCTGTCAGTGAGCTGGCCATCATGTACAACCCTGAAACTTGTCCCTTCGTACATGCTGTTGATGAGGTTCACCAACTTCTGTGGGATTCCGTGGTGTCTCATTATCTTCCATAGTGTTGCTCGATCTACACTGTCAAAGGCCTTCTCATAGTCAAGGAAGTTGACGATCAGCTGGGAGTTCCACTCCAGGGACTGTTCCACAATAATCCTCAGCATGGCAATCTGGTCGGTGGTTGAGCGATTTTTCAGGAAACCAGTCTGTTCATCCCCTAGTCTTGGATCCGTTGCTGTCTTGATTCTCTCTAGAATGATTCTGTTGAAAACCTTACCTGGTATTGAGAGAAGAGTGATCCCTCTGTAGTTGCTGCAGATGCTGAGATCCTCCTTTTTTGGAAGCTTCACGAGGTGTCCTTCTCTCCAATCCTTTGGGAACTTGCTCTCATTCCAGATCCTGGTAAACAGTGGGAGGAGGATGTCTGCTGTCACATTGGCATCTGCTTTTAAGGCTTCAGGTGGAATCTGGTCAGGACCGGCTGCTTTACCTTTGTTCAGCTTCTTAATGGCATCCAGAATCTCTTGTTTTGAAGGAGCATCACAGCAGATTGGTAACTCATTTCTTGCTGGCAGGATGTTTGGTGGGTTACTCGGTGGTGGTCTGTTCAGGAGACTGTTGAAATGCTCTACCCATCATTTAGACTGAGCTTCCTTTCCAAAAATGGTTTTCCCCTCTTGGTCCTTTACTGGTACTTCAGGTTTCCCGTATTTTCCAGCAAGTGTCCTTGTGGTCTGGTAAAGGATTCGCATATGCCCTCCTACCGCTGCTTCCTCTGCCTTCTCTGCCAGCCTGTTCATGAATTCCTCCTAGTCTTTTCTTAGCGATTTCTTGACATCTTTAGCTGTTGTCCTGTACTGCTCCAATGCATCCACTCTTGATCCTCTTGTTCTACTTGCATTCGCTTCTATCTTCAGCTGTCTTCTTATCATAATTAAATTCAGAGAGTGTTGGCTAATCCATTCCTTGTGCTCTCATTTTTTCCCACCGAGTACTTCTTGACATGTTGATGTAAAGACTTCTTTGACCTTGGTCCAGTGTGTATCCACCTCCGTGTCCTCTCCGCCAAGATCAGCCAGAGGTTGAAATCTGTTCCTCAGAGGCAGCTGAAACTCTTCTTTCTTGAGTCTGTCCAAGAGACTCACTTGAAACTTTGTTCTTTTGATTCCTGTGCTGGTTCCATGCTTTTTGAGTCGAAGCTTGAGTTTTGCCAACAGCTGATGATGATCCGATCCAACATCTGCCCCTCTCTGTACTTTGACATCTTCTAAAGAACACCTGAACCTACGAGAGATACAAAAATGATCCATCTGGTTCTCCGTCACTCCATCTGGCGAAACACATGTGGCCTTGTGAATCCTCTTGTGGGGAAATACAGAGCCTCCAATGACAAAACTGTTGAAAGCACATATATTTGCGAATCGCTCACCGTTCTAATTCATTTGTCCCAAGCCATGTTGTCCCATAATAATAATAAACAGCATTTATACTGCGCATTTCCATTTCCTAAAATTACATTACAATGAAAAAGACATCACATCTTAAAAATTAATCAACAAGTGTGTACGTAAAACAAAGTATTATACATATAATATAAATGCATATGTGTAAAATTTTATACGACAAAAACAGTCTCGCAGTGAGGTTGAAAATGTGTTCACTTAAAATATACAATGCAATAAAAATTCACGAGCGGTCAAAATAAAGTTGAAACGTGAGTAGCTAGAAACATTCATTAAAACATTAATTCTATACAGATAGAAAAACATTTCCGTTCTCTCTCTCTCTCTCTCTCTCTCTCTCTCTCTCTCTCTCTCTTTGTCTCTCTCTCTCTCTCCCTCTCTCTTTTCTCTCTATTTTCTCTCTCTATCTCTACTTTTTCTCTCTCTCATTCTCATTCGCTATTTCTTCAGTCTCAAAGTCTGGCATACACATGCATATATATCACAGTACATCATTTTGACAGGTATGCTTTTGTGGATAAAAAATGCTTCAGCTGATTTTTGAAAATGGAAATTGTTGGGGCAGATCTTATCTTATATGGGAGTTCGTTCCATACCTGGGGACCAAAGAACAAAAAGGAACGCTCGCCGTATGTTTTGTAATTTTGTTTTGGAGTTTTAAGAATTAGATTATCAGAGGCTGATCTAAGGGCTCTAGGTGGATGATATAATTCCAGGAATGTTTTAAGATAAAAAGGTGCACTATCATTTATACATTTAAAACAGAGAACGGCAGTTTTGTATTTGATCCTTTCTTTTATTAGCAGCCAGTGTAGTTCTTTCAGAATTAGTGTTACGTGCGCTGATTTGTTTTGTTTCATTATCAATTCTTTCATACCCCATGTTGTCGTTGTCCTGACCAATCTTGGCATTGGCATCTCCCATTATGATGTTGACATCCTTCCTTGGTAGTTTGTCGATGACCCCCTGGAGCTGGCAGTAAAAGGCATCCTTGTCTTCATCCGAAGCATCATTTGTTGGGGCGTAGATCTGTACTATATTCATGTTGATGCTCTTGCTCCTTGTAGTGAATGGAGCCAAGATGATCCTTTCCCCGTGTGGTTCCCATCCTCTAAGTCACTTCTGTGCATACTTACTTCAAATGATTCCCACTCCTTCCGCATGGTGCTTGTCTTCCCTCCCACAATACAACACTTGTTCCCTCGAGCTGAGCTGCTTCTGTCCAGACTGTATCCAGTGCGTTTCGCTGACTCCTCATATGTGCAGCCTCTATCTCTTCATCTCTTGTACTACTTGAGAACTCTTTCCTGCTTCATACATGGTGCAAACATTCCGCGACGCAATCCGGAGAAACTTGTTCGACAGAGGTTTCAGGTCAGAAGAGTCCTTTTGGCTTTGTCCGCTGTCCTTCATCATTCCTGCTGGTGCAGAAGCTCCTCCGTCTCCCAAGATCGAAAAATAAAAAGCTGTGTTTGTCCGTGTTTCTGTAACTTATTGTTTTTTACTGGATTGGGTAGTTGGCCCTCCGCAAACTGGCACTTTTCGGGCGACCAGACCTTTGCACTTTTAGTCGTCTCTTACGTCACGCAGTATGATGGCAGGTGTATTCTTTGCTCCCCCATAGTAAAATTAAGGGGCCCCCCACCTGCAGGGGCAGGTGAAATCAGGCGCTCATCAAAATAATGAAATCGAAGAAATCTGCATTTTTCGGCCAGTTTGAAATTTTGTTTCCAATTTTTGTTTTTTGGCTAAGCACCTTGAGTATCCATTCAAAAACACTTTTATGTGTGGATTTGATTTCAAAAACGTTGATTAAAGGCACGAAAACTGTAAATTTGCAGTTTTCAAAGACTCTTGAGCTACGAAAGTCACTGAATTTTGGCGGCCACTTTTTCGCTAATTTTACTTCTGAAACTCGGCAACCCCACCTCTTTCAATCGCAAATATCTCGAATTCTATTCAGGATAAAAGGATATTTTTTTTCATCAAATGCAAGGAAAATGAACAAGCTTTAAGATAATACCAACAACTCCACATAACCAAAAACTGATACCACCGGGTTGTGACACAATCAAGTTCACAATGTTTATATCCAGACACTTTGGAAGCAATATGCACTCACTTGTACACATAAGTCGTCCCGATTCCATGTTGATATGTCAGGTTTTGAGATGCCATGATGGTCGAAACATTGACGAGGGCAGCTTTGTTACAACTCATGGGCTGGGACTTGTTCTGAGCTGCTGCTAGCTCTAGGAGAGGCAGGAACTTCTGTGCCACGATGATGGGGCCTGGACAACACAAACAAAGGTTACATCTTGTTTTGTACACTTGATAAGGAAGATGCTTTAAGTACATGTCAACAGTGTTATGAGCAAAAGGGCAAAGTCAAGAAGTTCAATCTTGACTCACTGACTGCCGACCCTGACCAATGTCCGGATTGGATTGCTTCATCAAGACGGTTGGGTGTTCATAAGTAAGTGAAGGCGAACAGTGTCGATGAAAAGAGATGTGTTTTTTAATTTTTTTAACATTGATGGGCTGCCCTTCAAGGCACCTGTCAAACAGTATTGAATGTGGATTTGAGTGCAGGGTGAAAGCCACACTGATTCAAAAGCCATAGCACATACCAATAAAAATGATATTATATTAAAAAACATTTTCTGACAACAGCATATGTATTTTAAGGCACTGATTAGTCCTGTGTGACTTAAGTACGACAGACAATTTTAACTAGTTTTCTTCTAACCTGTAATTCTGATCTGGGCCTGTGGAAGGGCCAAAACATCAACTGTCAAAATCATGTTATGGTTTTACCATTTATATATTTGGACTTGAGGAAAAGCAAAAAGTGACAGTGGAAGAGAACATTTACATATATGTACTGAATGCTGGAACTTGAAGGACTGTGAGAGCATGGGACATGGTGACGTTGAAAATCTTGAAAAGATTGACAGAAAGAATGAGTGAATGAAAAGAAGAAGAAAGATTATTTATAATGACTAGTCAGACTTTGGCCAATTTGCACGAGAAAATGCATTGCTGACCGACCCGCAATGACAGTTCAAAGGCGCAATGATTGAGTGTACGTAATGTGCAACCCGGCAGGTTTTAAATATTCCTTATTGTTGAGTTGCTGCAAATATTTGGGACGTTACGGAAGCAAATCCAATCCTTTGCTACAGAATACCAATAAATACAAGCCCATGCTATCCCTTTTTACTTTAAAGGAGTGGAACTGGTATGATGATGCGGCAAGTACGGAACTTTCAGGATGTTCCGATTCCTTAAAATAGGGAAGATTGGAAGCATTGCAGAGCGGGCCATTTTATTTTTTATTTTACTCTCGGAACTCATCGCAAATTCGGTAGTCTTGACACCTTTATACTTTATCGGTAGGCCTATGGTAGTAGAAAAGGTCCAAAATTGGTAACTAGGCCTACCAGAAAAATTTGTAAATTTAGGCAGCCCTGCATGCCTCCTGTATTTTCTCATAATTTGATGCGAAATATATATGGAAAGTTATGCAGCCATTTTTTAATATATGGCACTCTCCACAACAGAATGGGGGGAGGGAGGGGGAAGTCTGATTTCTTGAAAGAAGTGCACCTAAGTGTGGAAGAGAAAGAATAAAATTACCCTGTTGTTTTATCACAGGACAAATGAGCACAATATGACAAATAATGACAACAACTTAAATAAAATGTTACCAGAACAGTTGACATCGAAATGCCTCTGCAAGTCTTCCCGTGACTGAGCTGCAAGGCTGCCCTCGAGGCCACCCAAAAGGATACCAGCATTGTTGATCAAAAGGTTCAGTCCTCGGTCTCCAAGGATGCTTTTGGTTTCCTTTTTTTTTAAAAGGGGGGTGGAAGAGAGAGAAGAAAGACTGGTAACAAGTAGCAAAATAATGACCCATGCTGACATTCTCCAGCACTACTAGAGAAAAGAAGGAACACATTATAACAGATGAACACAAAATGAACTTCGTAGCAGTGAGGACTGCACTAATATGCAAAATGAGTTGTCTGAGCAACGTTAACCAGGATTAACATCCCTAAAGAATTTCCATTCCAAAGTAGTCTCGCAAGCTGGTAAAGACTGCCTTTTCCTTTTCAAGTGACGCTTTAATTAAAACTTGTTTGAGAGAGAGAGAGAGAGAGAGAGAGAGAGACAGAGAGAGAGGGGGGAGGGAGGGAGGGAAGAGAGAGAAAAGAAAAAAGAAAGAAAGA